TTTTTTTTTTTTTTTTTTTTTTTTTGGATCACACAAGAAATATTGAGCTACTATTACATATTTCTATTACAATTCACAACATGTCGTTTGTATTAAAGAAGTCTCTTGCCCATTAATTTCATGGATTTCGCTGTGATTCCTGGAAATTGTAAGTTCCCCTTTTCATCCACGTATTCGTCGTAGTTTTTCTCGATCAGGGTTTCAAAGCCGCATCGTTCGGCCAACTTTTGTGAGATCGGCGAGGTAAATGCTGTGATTGTTACTGGAATATTGTACTCGCGACCTACGTTTACTCTGAATAAAAATTTGAAAATTTTATAAATAAAATATAGAAATATAGAATTTAGAAGTACTTTGTATCAAAGACAGTATACGAGAAAGTATTGGAAAACGTTGAAAGGGATGGTTGAACCTTTGTACCTAGCATTAAGAAGATGAGCACCTAGAGCAGCTCCTCGATATGAAGGGTTAACCGAAAGGCCAAAAGCGGTCATGTATTTATCTATCCCATATCTTTCAAACACATTTACTTCTTTGTTCAAATGTAACACAGCATCGAATACAACTTGTCCCCCCTTTGACTAGAATACATTTTAAATTTATGTTAGTATGCTATGAAAAATATTAATGTTATTTGCATTTATAAATTGCAAGAAATGAATAAAAATCACCTTAATTTCGTCCGAATTGAACTTCTCATCTTTGAAGGACAAGGTAAGTACGTTAAGTCCTGCGATTATAGGTTTCCCGCCATTTGGATCCTCCGTAAACGCTGCGATGGACAAACCATGATTTATTAATGTACGCCAAATCTGCTCAAAACTTTTCACATATTCAGGATCATTTATTCCATCTACAAAAACGAATACGTGTCACATGTCGATATTACCACTTAGATTGTTTACATAACGTAAATAAAAAAATTAACATTATCTGATAATCAATTATAACTAAAGATATAACGCTGGGAAAAAGTAAGAAACCGTGATAAAACAAGAAAAGGAAAGGGCAACAAGGTGAAAAAGTTTGACAGCGGATTGCAAATTGTTTTTACGGATTGCAAATTATTTCGTATATTTTGGTAAATGACACGAGTAGATTTAAATCTTATAAATTAAATTACTATTTAACATTATCTTACAAATTATTAAATTATAAATTTATTAAGTATTTATTTTATAAACTAAAAATATTCGTATTGTTCATATTCTAATCATATTCAATTCTTCGTCTTATGAAAATTTTTTTTATGAAATTTTTAAAACGCCTTGCTGAGTGCATAAGTAAACAAAAATATTATCATTATGCGACCATCTTCTGCTGCGTCACATTCGTAAATAGCAGTGTAACATTTTTGCATGTAATGTATTTCATAATGTTAACCTAATCTTTTTGCGTTTTTGTCTGTCTTCCGTCTATTTCTTAGATTGTAAAAAAAATTGAAGAAACTTACTCATGCATTTGCACATAGGTTCATCGGCAATAAAATACTTGCACATGTGCTTAATAGCCTCTTCGTATCTGTCCTCTGGTATCTCTTGAATGGTAAATCTTATCGGTGTTTCCGCGTTTTTTAATTTAATCTCGACGATATTCCACACTTTCGGTGGGCCTGGTGGTTTTATTGGATATTTAATTGGCGGTTCACACCTCTCGTTCTTATCCATTATGTTTGTTATACCGAAAGTAAAACAAACTCAAGAAAAACGCGTATAAAAAATATAATTATTAAACGCCACTTGTTATAGTTACTGTTACTTCGTTGAAGTCTTTTAGCTGAATGACCAATGAACGTTATCTGCTATCATATATACGTTGATTGTCACGCTGCTGTTAGTATCGCTCTATTGCTCTTGAAAATACACTACTTTTATTTGATAATCTTCTTTTAATCTTTTAATCTATTTATTGCAACGCGATAATACAAATAATTTAAATTATAAAGTCTGTATAAATTCTTCATAAGTTATAACTTAATAACTTTATATACAATTGATTTACATTAATATGTTGAAGTATATTGAAAAATATTTCTATGATTAACAAAGTAAAAGACATAAAAGACATAATTCTTTTGTTTTTTTTTTAATTCTTGTAATTTAGTATAGCAGTCTTTATTTAGTATCATTCATTGGTTTTACAAAGAGCTAAGTCTTCTCCAAGGTTATTACAAAGTGAATTAGAAATGAATTGAATAAATTTTTTCTTTTTCATGATTTTTACATTTGTGTTAAGCATCAATTTTTTTTCTTGTTGTTAAATATTAGGAAATAAAATCGTTTTTATAAAAACATTCATTTTTATTGTTATAGTTTACTTATTATTTACATTTTACATACAAATATTAAATAAACGTGATTACAATGTCTGCTTTTCTACAAAATCTGTATTAAAATTATAATCGTCAGATGTTGAGATGTTGAATCCCTCGAGTTGACCTGCCAATTTAATAGCTGCTTTTTCTATAAAATTCAGATAATGAAGTAAAAAAAATATAATTTGAAATAAAATAATTTTCTAAAAAACAAAAAACATTCTTACCTCTTCTAACTCGGTCTTTCTTCTCTTTTTTAAATTGCAGTTTATTAAGTTTATTTAATTTCTGGTTGCCTTCAATTTCAAAAAGCGGATCTATTTTCTTTTTCCTTGTTTCATCTTCTTTTTTTTTCGACTTCTCTAATTTTTTCTTCAGTTTGTTCTGTATTTTAATTTGCTACAAAAAATATTATAATTAAAACATAATCATCATGGCAAGAAAAACTGCTTGTATGCAAGTTGACTTACTGCTTCTTTTTGTAACTCAACTTCCATGGCAGATACGACTGGACCAGAACTTTCAATTAATAATGGATCAATAGTTTGTTTTTTTGCAACTTCTTCTTCGAAATTATCAAGCATCATTTTTTCTTGTCCAGCAAAACTTTCAATATCGAATTCTTTACTAATTTGGTTTACAATTTCTGCAGAAACATGACAATTTGATTCTTCAGGCGGGACAGTATAATATCTATTCAAATAACATAAATTCTTACTTATCCAGTAAAGCATATAATATAGATTTTATAAATTTTATAAATACCTTATTTTTCCGGAATTCCAGTCTTCCAAAATACTGCGTGCTGCTGCTATCGCATCGGGTATACCGCCTTTTTTAAATTTTCCCATTCTGGTAGCTTTTAAAGCAAAGAATTCATCAGGCGTTGAAAACTCTGGTATATTATACATTTCCATTATTTGCGGTTTGGAAATTCTTTTTAAAACAGCAGTTGCTGGTGTATATGGATCCTTTAAGGATTGAATTTTTACTGCATTTTTTAAAGCTACTGAAGAATCATCAGAGTTTTCTTCAGAATTAGCAAAAACTATTCCTGGAGAGTCTAACAATTTTATTTTGGAATCTAATTGCACTGCCTGCATTGTTTTCGTTATTCCTGGAGTATTTCCCACATTGCATGCTTTACTACGTTTTAAGGAATTAATAACACTAGATTTGCCAACATTTGGAAGTCCAACAACACCAACTCTAATACTGGTTTTAACATTTCCAACATTTCTACAGTAATTTGCAAGCAATGACATTAGTAATTCAGCACCGAAACAGGTACCACTTTGTATCATGCTTTGAGTTTTCTTTCCCAATTTTCTTCTACCTAACCTCTTAGCTTGGTCTTGAGTTGAAGCTTTAAATGCCACAGCTGGAAAACTCCTACGCAAATATTTTAGCCATTGATCTAAATTTTCTCTGGGTATTAAATCTGCTTTATTTAAAACAATAACCAGTCTTTTACTTTCCTTTGCAGACAACACAGCTTCTTCAACCTGTATTATGTGTAAATTGAAGTTATTTCAATACTTTATCTTAGTTTATAATATATATATATATATATATATATATATATATATTATATATATAACAACATATTTGAATGTACCTCTTTACATCTTGTTCCCAATGGATCTCTGGCATCAACCACCTCAAGAATAACATCAGCTGCATTTAAAACTTTTCTGAATTCTTTGTAATAAGCTTTTAACGAATTTTCCTCTTTAGACAAAGCAATTTTTATTTTTTCGTGTACATCATCCACTTTTATTTCTTCGTGTTCTGCTTGTTTATTCTGTGCAGTCGAGACTAAGCCTTGAAGATCCGTTTTGGCGAGTTCTTCTCGTTTTCTTTGACGTGCAGCTTCACGTTGCTTTTGTTTCTCTTCTTCATGTTGCTTTTTCATAAGTTCTACTTCTTTAAGGATATCTTCTTTAAAAGGACACTGATTTGGTACTTCAATTATTTTCGGCTTTTCTACAAAAAATTAAACAAAAAAGGATCGATATTTTATAAAATGATCGCAAAATGTAGATAATGCTTTGAACGTGTAATTGCAAACATTTACTTTTAGGATGCTTTTTTGCTTCTTTCCGTAATTTTCGATTATGCTCCCGAACTTTTTTCTCGATTTTATATCTTTTTCGAGCTGGCATACGCTTGCTCTGTTTCTCTGGAACAAATATGATTATTATTAATAGATTATCGTGCATATATTTATTAATAATGAATTATTAAATTAAAAAAATAATTAACTACGACAATTAACAACATTACAAATAATAATATTGTAAAAGAGATCTTTTAAACATAACCTACTACATGCATTATAAATAAATTGTATTAAAATAGTCTCATTACTAAACTTACTCAAGCAAAATTTCGCCATTTCTTTTAGCTTTTAACACTATTTTTTAACAGTTTCATACAATAATAATAAGACTAAGTACGTTATTAAACAATCAAAATACACTTTGAAACATCACGTGTACACAAGTGTGCACGCAACGAAAAGCTAGGTTAAGAATCAGTCTGGGAAACGTAAGAATATATGATGCATATCGAACGCAGTGCATACACACAACATTTCTATTTAATTCATTTCAAACGAATGTGTATTGCATTTTCCCGTTTTAAATTATGCACAATTGTTTTTTAGTGATTTTAATTTATTAAGAACTCACAGGAAACTTGTGACTCGTAATGAGAATTCATTTTATTGAATCGTGGAATAATTGAAGAAGC